TTCTGTTTGATGATATTACTCAATTTGTTTACTCGATGGCAGTACACTTTCGAATCAATTGTTAAATTGTCTGGTAAAAGCTCAAAAAAAAAAAAAACATTTCCTTAAAATCCCACCAAAGAAAGCATCTCTCTTTAAGAACATGTGGAACCCATATATCAAGCTTTAAATGAAACCAATTTGTTTGAAGTAATCATAAACAGTTCAATTTGACAAGTGTTGTTATTCGGCAGTTTGCTTCAATCAGTACCTTTATTTTGTTTTCATTGGCTTCAACTGGCCATCCAGAATGTGGTGCATCATCAATATTGAAATTGCCAGAACAAAATTTTGTAAACTAGTTTTGGCACTGTCGTTCTGACAATACATCATCTCCATACACGTCACACAATTTTTTTCTCGCTTAAACAGCATTCTTACCTTTTCGGTAATAAAAGAGCAAAATATGACGAAAATGCTGCTTTTGATCTTCCATATTTGATGGGACACAAAAAATAAACAATTGCACAAAATCAAACAAAACTTTTTACAAATAATCCTTAAAATGCTAGCTGTCAAAATATATAATGATAATATGGTTTAGAATGAAAATGGTGGGAAAAATACGACTAATCCATCTAGTGGTAAAAAAAACAAAATTACTTTCCGAACAACCCAACATAAATCATCAATTCCCAGATTTTACTCTTCTAATTTAAAATTCAAGTCAATACATATTACTTTAAACTGTATATTAAAAAAATTTATAATGATTTGCAGATATTAACAAAAATAAAATTATATGTTAAATCAAACTGTCAAATTATTTTATAAATTATCTTGCCTATTGCCTTGAAATAACTAACAATCTAACAGTTGAATTGGTTTATTATAAATTAATTTTTTACTATTATAATATTTGCAAAAATTATTCTGATATACCAATTTCTTAAATACTGATTTAGTATAAATCAGTTAAGAAATTAGCATATCAATCTTAAAATTTATAGCATAAGTAAATTTAAAAAATGAAGTAACTTGTTTTCAACTACTAACTAATAGAGCATAATAAAGTAAAATATCAACTTTAATGTATAAATTAAACAGATTTCTAAAGAATTGAAGCAATCAAGTTTTATTTTTAGATTACTAGTGGGATTTGAAAATGAAGTGACATCTTTGATGTTAATTTAGAATGTATGTATGCATTTGTATATATAAACTACTATTATAGGATTAAGAGTACAATGTCTTTCAGATAAACATTTTCATAATCTTAAATTCAATCTTCAGATCTGTTAAAGTTTAAATAGAATATCAAATTGAAAATATATCTCTGCCACAGACTGCACATCTCACTTAGATCTTTGTAAAATTGTAGCAATTTCAAAATTTCATATATTCTAAATCAAACACAAATTGTAGCCCATGTCAGTTACAGGTTTTCAAATATCTCCTATTTAATGTCTTACTTAAGTTTGGATGAATCTGAAGCCAGAATTCAAGATTCTAAAGACATTTATCTGAAACAAATTTTATTCTGACTTCTGTAATAGGGTTATTTATTTTGTAAGTAAAAATGGAATCACAAATCAGATGAAGCTACATTAACGCACAATTTTTTCATGCAAATGATAAACATTTTCACATTAATTAAACTACTGAAAAAATTTTAGAAGTCAATTCCTAAAACTTTCAGTAAAAACAAATGAAGAATTGCTAAACAGTAGAGTCAATTTTTATGAGAAAATGTATTAAACCAAACAATCACTGTAATTAATTAGGCTATTTTTCTCTACTATTAATAATTAAATATTAAGTAATTTGTAAGATTTTTTGAAAAAGTTTTTTTGTAGGGCTAAACTTATCCCATCAGATCCCATCAGATAATCAATAACATTAAATAAACATTTTTTAAATATCTGAAATGAACAGGTTCAAATCTTACACAGTAAGTAAATGGCATTTAAAATCTTTAAAATATGCACATGATGCATTTAAAATGAAATGTAGGACTAACTACTTAAAAAGTTTTACTTTTCTGGTTTGTTTTCTGTGTTATACAGTAAAGTATTGGAATTGTGTCAAATTTGCAGGATTTTTTGGAAATCTCTGCATTTTGAGACCTCCAAACCCAATAAAAGTAAAATGAAAAAAAATTCCATGGATATATGGGTGTGAATATGTGTTTTGGTGTATTTCATTTAAATCTCAGGATGGCATAATGATTAAGAAACAAAATTTGGCATAGTAACTTGTATATAAGAAGCATTGATGCTATTAAACTTTAATGGTTAAAAATTGAGGGAGGAGAAAGAGGGAATTGTGTGCCATATCTCGAAGTCAAACTTAAGATTTTTGCTTCTTATTAACATTTACAACTTTTTTTATAAAATTCATCTCCACTTATTAAATCCTATGGCTGGAACTATCTTATAAACACAAAAATTTACACCTTTCTTTCAATTTCCAGCATTCACTGTTTAAAAAAAATAAATGTTTTTGGCTATGTTCAGGGGCTTGCATCAGGTTAAGCAGATTCTATATCAAATGTCTAAAGCAAGTTTGAAGTTTGGAATAATGCCATAACATTTATGTAAATATAGTATATATTAAAACAATTACGTCAAAGAAAAACTACATTATTCCAAACTTCAAATCTGCTTTAGACGTTTGATATAGAATCTGCTTAACCTGATGCAGNAATAGAGCGGAAAAAATTTTTTAAAAACCCCCGCTCCCCGAAATATTCTTGTGGTTTTACATCCGTCCGGATCATATCCGGATTCCAAAAAAGGTAGACTATCGCCTTAATTAATTTACTAAAACGTCAAAGTTTTATAGAATTTATAGTGTTTGCAGTATAGCCTATACCTTACGCCCTCAAATAGATCACAAGTTTAAATTACTCTTCAGGCTCAAATATAACCAAATCCCAATTGCATTTAAAAATAATAATAAATCCACAGTACTTAAGTAAACCCACAATGAGTTCATTCGAATTACATTTTCTAAGCTACGAATTACTGTAAACAACCTGTTCAAAATTGTAACTGTAATTTAATGAGTCACATTGTCTGTGTTTAATTTTTTAGAAGTCATTTTGGTTTTCGTTTAACGACTCATGCGTCCTCTCGCGCAAACACATACTAAAACGAATTTTGAAAAAATAAATCTATAGATTCGAATAGCCCTCACAGGATTGATAAATACTAACCTAAACAGTTTTAAAAATAAACCGATAGTGGATCTATTCAAGTACGTACGGTTTCTTCTCCTTCGTCTTTTTCAAATTTAACAACAACTATTCTTACATCATTTATTATACAGCTGATATGTACTGTGCAATAGTTTCAAGAATAAAAATGTGTGTTTTTGTAGTTGCATTTTATTACAAATAATTTGTCTCGTATTGAAGTTAAACGATAAAACACAGCAGAAACAAGCCATTTTGTAATATACGTGTCTATTATTATCTTTTAATCTAAGTCTGCCTTTCCTGCACAAAAGCTGGATTATTTAGCACATCGCAATCACAATATTCCTCAATCTAGTCCTTTGGGCTTTTCAGCCTAAAGGACTAGATTGAGGGATATTGTGAAATTGGAGGCATTATTGAGGGAGATTGGAGACATTACGAGTTGAGTCAGACATGTTGTACCAGCATATGCCATAAAAAGTACTGATAATCAGTACATAGTATCAGCAATTGCTCAGTAAAAACAATTCTATATATTCAGTTATCATATATGCATATCAGCAGTACTTTTTTCAGAAAAAAGAGCATTATACATAATTAATTAAAAAAGATAGGCCATCAAAGTTGGATATTATTGTAATATGCATAGTTCATTTTAAGAGCTGCCAAAAGTAATATCATCCTAAGCAAACTTATTTCATATTCCTCGCTATAATCATCTGTTACATTAATTTTATTGAGTAAGGAACCATTCTGTTAAAACATTTTTTTTCTCCTATGAATTTTATAATCAATTTTTAAGTAAATAGTTTCAGTAAAGTAACTTGGAAATGAGCTGTCAAGTAAGCATGCGAAAAAAATCAATCTACGCGTAATGATACTAGGGTTGCCATACATCCATGTTTAGTATGGACAGTCCATACTATAAAGGCTCCGTCTGTGTCCATACCATACTTAGAAAAAATAAAAAAAAATCTGTACTGATCATGCTTTTAACAGTTAAATAAGCATAACCACTTACTTAAATGTAAGTATCTGACAAAAGGTGCTAAATTTTTGATAATTATTATTGTATTTGTTGGCTAGGTGGTAACATTGTATAAGCAAACATAACTGCTCTGTTGCTTAGAGAACATATGCACATTCGTTATAACATTTTTTAAAATTCAATAGTACTTGTTGTCTAAGTAGTAAAACAGTTTTCTCTTTTACAATTGCATTCTGTGCCCCAAAGGAAAGTGTAAATTGAAACTTTATATTATATGCCTGTATTTATCAGATTGAATAAATTCCTTTCATTCTGACTCACTGTCAAAGTACTTTTAATGCTAATCTGTCCAGTATTTTGCTTTCAACTATTACGGTAAACCTAATGATACTGTAATTGAGAATATTAACAAGGAAGTATTCAATCCTTTGTTTCAGGAACACTTTTTAAAAATTCTTCAAAAATAGTAATAGTAATTTATTAACTTTAGTATTAGTCATCACTCTATCTTTATAATTTTTAAATATGGATTTTGTTCACTGTATTGATGCAAAAAATGAGCATTATTGGAATTAGTCACTATATTTTGTAAAATTATTAAATTAAAAACAATCTTATTACAAAATTTAATAAAAAGTTGATTTTTAACAGAAGCATATTTTGAGTGTTACTTATTTTATAGGAATGTCAAGTATTTTATAAGCTTAAACCCAATAACACTTTATTGATATCTACTGACATTTTTCCAACTAAAACGTACATCCTTCATCCGGTTTTTAAAAAAATTTCATTAAAATTAATATTAGAAATATTTTAAATGTAATAATTTCTCACCCTGTCCCATTATCAATTACTACGGCAGGCATTCTTCCTGCCATGGTGCTTTGCCCACTTAAACTCGGAATTTTGTCAAAAGAAACTAAAAACTTCTGAAAAAAGGCGTTAACTACCGCATGTAATAGATAATATGGAGCACATGATTCACAACAATGTTGCCAGACGCTTAGCGCCAAGAAAATAATTATTTAACCCTATATGGTTATTAATTTAAATAATTTTAAAATATATATGAAAAAAATAAATTAAAATATTTTAAAAATCTTATTCGTTTATTCACAAGTTGTGCAAATGTTTAAAATATTTATAAGGCGATTGTTAGCGATCTGATAAGAAAGCGGGTTTTCTATACTATGCGAAAACTATCTTCTATTTATGTATTAGACACGTGAGGAAAAGGAAAAAATTCCTCACACCAAACTCATTAGTCCAGCTCGAACACACAACCAATTATTTATGTTCGGTGGTTTTATCCACTCGGCCATTGGTAGGCCGTTTGCGAAGTTCTGTTGACTGTACATTATACTGTAATAACGTATTAGTTATTACAATGATAATTAATAATTATAGCTGTTAATCGTATAAATAATTCAATAAAAATACTGAAATAATGCAATTTTTGTTAGCTTGCTTAAAACAGATGGGCTTTCTTCATATTCGGACAAACCGCTTACCACTCGGCTGCTCTTGGCCGAACCCGTAATGGGTTTGCTAAAAGAGGCCCTCTTAGTGCCAATAGAGCGGAAAAAATTTTTTAAAAACCCCCGCTCCCCGAAATATTCTTGTGGTTTTACATCCGTCCGGATCATATCCGGATTCCAAAAAAGGTAGACTATCGCCTTAATTAATTTACTAAAACGTCAAAGTTTTATAGAATTTATAGTGTTTGCAGTATAGCCTATACCTTACGCCCTCAAATAGATCACAAGTTTAAATTACTCTTCAGGCTCAAATATAACCAAATCCCAATTGCATTTAAAAATAATAATAAATCCACAGTACTTAAGTAAACCCACAATGAGTTCATTCGAATTACATTTTCTAAGCTACGAATTACTGTAAACAACCTGTTCAAAATTGTAACTGTAATTTAATGAGTCACATTGTCTGTGTTTAATTTTTTAGAAGTCATTTTGGTTTTCGTTTAACGACTCATGCGTCCTCTCGCGCAAACACATACTAAAACGAATTTTGAAAAAATAAATCTATAGATTCGAATAGCCCTCACAGGATTGATAAATACTAACCTAAACAGTTTTAAAAATAAACCGATAGTGGATCTATTCAAGTACGTACGGTTTCTTCTCCTTCGTCTTTTTCAAATTTAACAACAACTATTCTTACATCATTTATTATACAGCTGATATGTACTGTGCAATAGTTTCAAGAATAAAAATGTGTGTTTTTGTAGTTGCATTTTATTACAAATAATTTGTCTCGTATTGAAGTTAAACGATAAAACACAGCAGAAACAAGCCATTTTGTAATATACGTGTCTATTATTATCTTTTAATCTAAGTCTGCCTTTCCTGCACAAAAGCTGGATTATTTAGCACATCGCAATCACAGTATTCCTCAATCTAGTCCTTTGGGCTTTTCAGCCTAAAGGACTAGATTGAGGGATATTGTGAAATTGGAGTGTGGCCGCCAGCGCCAGAGATCCTGAACACTGTCTGGCACCAGAAGTATGGTAATCGACGAATACAGTACTTATCTAGAGAGCTAGCGGTATGCGAAATAACCCACTTTTTGTGCAGGGAAGATCACGCTATGGTAGACTTAGATTATTGACCTGGGTAGGTATAGGGTAAGTATTGGTGGACGTACAGTACAGACCTGTATGCATGGGCGTAGCCATAGTTTTGTTGTGGGGGGCCTAGTAGAGGCCAACCTAACACAAAATTGAATTATTTCAAATTATTCATAACATTGGGCACAGTGGACCTTTTTTTTATTAGTATTCAAATTTTTTAGCTTTAAGTTTTTTGTTGTTTCCAAATCGGCTTAACACTTTTTCGGCTGTGATTTTCTGGGGGGCACCAGGTTCACTGGGGAGGGCCGTGCCCACCCAGGCTCCCCCCTCGCTACGCCCATGCCTGTATGCCACCCGAAACGATAGTTATAGAGATGAGATTCTCAGACCTATTGTCATATAATATGCTGAAGCTGTTGGTGTTACTTTAATCTTCATTGACGATAACTAGCGATCATACAGAACTCGACTAGTGGACGGCTTGCTTCCAGAGTAGAGAATCGAAAGTATAGATTGGCCAGCATGCTATCCCATTCACGCGTGAAATGCACTTGGTAGCGGTCTTCGTTACCTGAACACTGGGAGTTCGGGCGTGGGTTCGCGCCTCGCTCGGACGGACTGGCCACGTAGAGTTTTTCGGGTTTTCTCCACGTCTGTAATGCCTGAATAGGGTCCAGTTACCCTTAAAAGACTCCCGAAAGGCATAATCCCCTCGCACGCGTATGACCATTTCATCTACGGCCTGCTACTCGGACGTATGCGTCCAATATCGTTCACTCGGAGTCATAGCTTATATGAGCAGCATACTCCATATTAACCATTGTATGAAAGACGAAATACGAAAGATGCACTTGGTAAATGCATTGTAGCTCGGTCATGTCGAATTCAGTAATGTAGAATGCTAAATAAAAAATCTAATTGGCTAGGAGGGCGGAGCTAAGAAGTATTCTGAGTATTTGAGGCTATTTCAAGCTTTACACTTTTTTGAAATATAAACTTTAAGTTGAATAATTTCAAATAAAAACGAGCAATTATTTATTGTGACACTGTCACAATACCAGGTAGAAATTTTTAATCATATTTTTAATTAGTTTATTTAAAATATATCCTCTCTACTTCAAATTAATAGTCTTTCCCCGAATATAATACTTTTCTTGTTAGCAATACATTCATGCCGGTCATGATATAACGCCTTTCAGGGATAAATTTTTGAATTGAAATAACGTAATTTCCGGTTTACATTAATCGGGGCTCTTGCAAATAATCTTTCCACACTTGGTCTCGGCATTCATCTGTCTAATTCAGTTCTTGAGATTAAGGAAGGACAGACAAACAAAGAAAGACAGACAAACTGAAGACAGTGGAGTCTACAATTTTTTTCAAATTGCAGCCCAATTATCAAACAACGTAAAATATTTTAATAATAGACCACGTGAAATATATATATTATNATTAATTGATATGTAAAAATCCATCAATATTTTGGTGAGAGATGTATGACGTGATCTAAGTTAAATGTATATGAATGTAACTTCTGAGTGTTGTAGCAATTAGTCAAACGGCCTAAGCATGCATAGTGAACAAACAAACATCTTCATTAATATATATATTATATATATATATTTCACGTGTAATATATATTTATACTTAATATATATTAAGTCACTACTGGTCAAATGACCTATGGAAATCGCTAAAAATCGTTAATAATTCCATAAACTCGAAATTTTAACAAGTTTCTTCACACCTAGAAGTCAAAAGGTTTAATTTGAGACTTTGTTTGCTGAATTTGATCAATAAAAAGTGGGTGAATTAAATGATTTTGTTCGCTTTTAAGTATACATATTTTAAAAAGGTTTCGTAATTATAGAATTTTTTTTATAGAATATTAATTTATGGCAAGAAATAGAGAATGTGCGTGATCGTTCAAAAACAGCACTATTCATTCTAGATATATTTCATAATATGTCTATTATTAAATTGTTTCTTGGTATTCAGGAGAGATTTCTCCATATCTCTGATAAACAAAAAATTCACAAACCTGCAATTTAAAAAAAAAAATACTAATAAAACATTAGTACAACGAGAAATAACTGTGATTGCAAATTTAAAAATACAATGTAATAATCTTGATCATGCACATCAATAAGTATCAAGTTTATAATACATCTGTGTTTTAATTTACTTATAAATTTTTTGTCATAATTTATTGTGGTATAAAATTAAAACTGTTGTATATAAATTCCTTTTAGAAAAGTTAACCTGTTCAATTATTATATCTGGCTTAACATGATGAGTTATAAAAACAATAGTAAAATTTATTGAGAAATGTGTGTTCCGATTTAAACACATACAATGTTTGTTTTTGAATATCTGTAACATTTGCTCAAATGATTATTATGGCAAGTCGGATAAAGTCAGACAAGAGGAAGGAGAGAGGTTGAGCTTCAGTGGATGTTCGTTTATTTTGTACAGTTTATGCACTTTATTATATTTATTTCAAAGTTTCTGACTATCATTCATAAACTGATAAAGGTTTTAAGGGAGGGAAGGTCGAGTTTTGTTGATGTCTGAAGAGGGGAGGAGGTTATGGAAACTTGAACAAACTTAGAGGAGAGGAAAGGGAAGTAAAAATTTCAAGAAAAATGAGGACGTAATTTATGAACAGCCCCTAAAATTTGGTTTATATTCATAGAACAATATTTTGTTATTATTCTTCCATGAATCTTTCATTTATCTACTAATTTCATGATTTTTTGAAGTAATCTTTCGTAAACTACATCTATTTTTTACGCTCAATGCCTGGTGCAACAGAGATTGCAAGATTGCAAAATTGACCGGTCAAACATAGGAATTGCATAGTACAAGATACGAAACCCGAAATAGTTTCTGATTTCGAGTTTTTACTAGTTCGAACCATTTAGGCTAATCTTACTCGTTAGGTTCATCCAAAGCATATTGGGCAATCTGCAGGTTGTTTTATTTCTCGGGTGAAAATCGCCGTTTATCCAGTTTACGGTTAAGAAATAATTTTGGATGATATGAATGCGTGCCATATTTTCTATTTTCCGTTTTAATTTTTCATTTTTTTTCTATTTTTTAACTACATATACATTCACTTGATTTTTGTGCATTGTGCTATTATAATATAATAGTAGAAATAACCATTGAAAAAAAAGAATGTGAAAATTTTCTCTTGATTTTATTTACACTTACACTACATTAACATTAAAGGGTAAAAACACTTTAATGAAACTGTTATAAATTTAAACTATAGCACAAAAGAGCTTAATGCAGAAGTGGCCAACAGTTTTTGCCTCCGGGCCGAATTGAAAAGAAAACTTTTTCCACGGGCCGAACCAGAGGCTGCCTAGGAAGATTTTGAGGTGGTGCAATATCTCA